AGGGCGATGGTGCTGGCGTGGCCGGAGCAGTGTTGCAGCCCTGCGGCATGCGCCCCGGACCGTTTAGCAACAATGACGTAGACGACGGAATGCGGCGCCGGGATAACAGTCCACCAGTACGGTCCAAACCTGTTGAATAGAAATGAAAAATTTTAATGTTCTCCAGATCGGTGAATTTCGGTCATGGCGGCCAGTGTCAACAGTGACTAGCCTAGTGACAGGATTTTAGTATAAGCGTGTACGCAAGTACAGGTGCATTCTATTGCCTCACTCGCATAGTCCGATGAAATAACAATATGATACGATCGAAGAGAGATCAATCGCAGGGCCAACGACTTTACATGCTAACCGAGGCATGGGGTGACAGAAAAACGCAATAACTGATTTTGGCCCTAACCGAGATTCGAACCCGGAACCACATGATCAGTTGTCGCGCTTACGACTACTACACCAACGAGACAATCAATCAAAATTTTAACTGCTGTAATCTCTAAAATAAATAAATACACATTAGGTACTTTTTCCTATTTTTGAATCTATATATATATATAACACCATTGAAAACATTAAAATATGCAAATTACATAAGTCAAAGTAATTTTTATTCGAAATTGGGCCTTTACAAAGCACTTTTTGAAAGTAAAAAAACTACGCTATCGCTTCAACAAGTGCGTACTGTGCGAGACGTGAAAACAAGCGCCAAGTAACTGACATGTACACTATTTTCTCCAAACAGATTTTTCAAAACGTAGCAAAATTTCAAGCTTAAGTTCAAATATATTAATAACGATATACCGTTATTGTAGCTTTTGAAAATACGAGTAAATAAGGCTTCTGGGAATCTTGGTATTCTTAATAAAATTCTTATTCTTAATAAAAATCTGGGCTGGGAATCTTGGTATAAATAATTGCACATTTACCCAAAAAGAACGATAAGAGTACAGTCTAGCTGACGGTAAGTAGATGCCGTGGCACATAATCTACATCTACCCTAGATTAAGAACCAAAATGCAGATGGGTTTCCACCTCTGAGGATAGACTGCCTCGTTTCCAGTAAAAAGGATCTCTGGTACTCTACACTCACCATACGAAACACAGCAGCATTGAGCCGCTATTTTACAATGGTATTCTTTGAGAACGTGGTCCTACCCCGGCCGAGCAGACCCATTCGTGCTACAACCATAATATAGCTGCAGAATGGCGCTACCATGTAAGCTGTGAGACCTTGCTTCTTCCCAAATTTTCCAAGTTTAGAGGAAAAGAAAGTACTCTATAGTACTTCCTCTTGACCTAGACTGATTGTTTGCAAGTATAAAGACCTAGATTTATTTTGATTTATGAGTTTTCAGGTATCAAAACTCTCGTTATGGCTTAAATTCTTCAATGCATAGTCTTAGACTGACTACAGAAGCTATTATGTGGAAATTATTATAAACTTTTTAGTTTTTGACATCTGAGCACTACTTCAAATTCTAAGGTTACAACTGGAATGTCGCCTAAAAAATTACCATAAAGCTTTACCTCTATTTTTCCACCCTTAGCTCAAGGGTGGAATTTTTTATCAAACCATTCAGGTAAAGCCTTTTAAATAAAATAAAATCTTAAAAAGATTCAGCTGTTACCGGAAAATTTAACAAAGATATTTACACATTCCTGAAAAACGGTCTTGACATGCGGATAGACGGGCTAACGGACGAATAGACAACAAAGGGTTTCGTTTTTCCCTTTTGAGGTATGGAATCCTAAAAATTGTGTATCCATGCCTGTATCGATGGTTCAAAGGCAGCTTACCGTTGTCAGAATTCTCGGGGCAGTACTTAATGGTATGCGCACGGTCTCCGGTGGCGCCACAGCGCGGACAACGGAAGGCGCGCAGCACGGGGCACAGCACGCGCCCGCGCCAGTCCTTCAGTGCGTGTGACGAATAGCACTCCTCATTTTCGCCGTTGTTTTTGCAGAACGCACACTCCTGAATTCGAATATGGGGTTAATGTCGCGACTACGAGGGTATATTTATCAGCTCGTAAGCAATTTACAGCTGGACTGTAAGTGTAGGGCCCGGCTTGGACGACTCTTGTAGTCGACGGGGCGATGAAATTCTTTAAAGTCGCCTTACAGAAAGTGTATGGGGCGTAGCATGAGTAGCTGCCGCCCGTGGCATCTAAGAGTCAATGCCGCTCCATACTAATCCCCCCCCCCTTAATAATAAATAAAACTTCAGTATTCACCAGGTGGTCAGTTCTTTCAATAGAGATACGGTTTTAAGAGGTGGCTCCTTAATATTAGCTAGTAAATTATTATCATGTAAAGAACGTAGAGATATTGTGAGCGTCTCTGTTGAGCGAACTGTAGAAATGGCATGTGTTGAGTTTGAGCATCTCATTGTTGTGAGCGTCTACAGACCCCCATGTTCTACATATGATACTTTTGAAAACATTATGGAGGAAGTTTTTGCTAAGCTTAATAAACAAAATTAATCTGTTGTAATATGTAGAGACTTTAATATCAATCTCCTAGAAGCTTCCTCCATCAATATTAAATTTAGATAATTAAAAAGACCATGTGATTTATCACATGGTCTTTTTAATTTGTTTATAGAGCCAACGCGTATTGCTCAATCTAGTGCAACATGTATAGATAACATTTTTACAAATGTGAAGCTGTTGCATAAATGTATAATTCAAAAATTAAGCTCTGATCACTCTGTCGCCGTGTAGTGGCGGTCAAGAATATCCACTACCCCATATCCTCCCGTGGGTGTCGTAAAAGGCGACAAAGGGAAACAGGCAGGAGATGGGCAGCAGCATCTTCTTGATAACAACAAACTAACAATAAAAAAAAACTGCGGTTGCCAACCCGCTCGCCAAGCGTGGCAACTATGGCAAATACCCCCCAATGAATAAAGCAACAAACAGACGGCCCCCAGTCCCCGGCGGCCCCGCTATTCCTGGCTACGGTGGCGACCATGGTAACGGCGGGGCAGGGGGTGCTAAGAATCTCCGGTGGAGGTTCGGTTGCCACCATAGACGACTCGACCTGGCAACGTACAACGCACGCACAACGCACGCAACCTGAGGACTGACGAGAAGATCGTGGAGCTGGAAGAAGAGATAGACAAGTTACGCTGGCATATTATAGGATTATCCGAAGTCCGAAGAGAGGGGGAGGACACGGTAATCCTCGAATCCGGCAACTTGCTCTATCACCGGGAGGGCGACCATCTGTCCCAAAGAGGTGTCGGATTTATCGTCCACAAGTCTCTCGTTAACAACGTTGTAAAGATCGGGAGTGTGTCGACGAGGGTTGCGTACCTTATACTCAGAATCACCAAACGGTATTCGCTGAAGGTCATACAGGTTTACGCACCAACCTCGGCACACCCCGATCAGGAGGTGGAGGAAATGTATGAGGATATCTCTAGAGCCATGCATTCCTCCAAAACCCAATATACGGTGTTAATGGGAGACTTTAATGCAAAACTAGGCACAAGAGAGAACGGTGAGCTGAAAGTAGGGAAATTTGGAATAGGGCAACGGAACCCAAGGGGCCAGCAGCTGGCCGACTTCATGGAGAAAGAGGGACTCTTTATGATGAACTCTTTCTTCCAGAAGCGGCCCCACAGGAAGTGGACCTGGTCGAGCCCCGACGGTTCGACAAAAAATGAGATTGACTTCATTATGACGACCAGACGACAACTGTTCAGTGATGTCTCCGTGATCGCCAGGGTGAAAACTGGTAGCGATCACCGAATGGTTAGAGGCACACTGAACCTAAACGTTAAGTTGGAGAGGTCTCGTCTAATGAAGTCACCGCTCCGTCCCCCTCGTGCTCTAATCCAAAGTCCCGAAACCTTTCAGCTCGAGTTACAAAACCGTTTTCAGTGCCTAGAAGACTGCAATGAAGTGGACGATATGAATGACAAGCTCTTGGAAACTGTCCATGCGGTCGGAGCTAAGTTCTGCAAGACCCGCCGCAGAAGAACACAAAAACTCTCCGATCACACTCTTAATCTCATGGCTGTTAGACGGGAGATGAAGCTACATTCTCCAACAGACTTGACAGCATACAGGCATCTGAACAGACAGATCTCCAAATGCATGCGGCGGGACTTACGCAACTTCAATACAGCTCGTATTGAAGAAGCGATCGAGCGGAACCAAGGCTCCAAAGTCTTTGCCAGAGATCTGTCTGCCAGAAAGAGCCAACTGTCAAAGCTGAAGACAGAATGTGGCAGCATCGTTTCCGGGACACCTGAGATTTTGAGTGAGATTGAGAGGTTCTATGGGCAGTTGTACACGTCATCGTTGGAGCCACACGCAAGTGTGAGTAACGATCCAAGAGCGAGTCTCATCCGACACTATTCCGAAGATATCCCGGACGCCAGTCTGAGCGAGATTAGAATGGCTCTCCAGCACCTTAAAAACGGTAAGGCCCCAGGCGAGGATGGAATTACAGCGGAGCTTCTGAAAGCGGGTGGAAAACCGGTACTTGAAGTCCTTCAGAAGCTCTTTAATTCCGTCCTCCATGGTGGCATTACACCGGAGGCGTGGAGCAGAAGTGCGGTGGTCTTGTTCTTCAAGAAAGGTGACAACACCCTCTTGAAGAACTACAGACCGATTTCCCTTCTGAGCCGTGTCTACGTGCTGTTTTCGAGAGTCATTACGAATCGTCTCGCGCGCAGACTTGACGACTTCCAGCCTCCCGAACAAGCCGGTTTCCGAAAGGGCTTTAGCACCATAGACCACATACATACCCTTCGGCAAATTGTACAGAAGTCCGAAGAGTACAATTTGCCACTATGTCTGGCGTATGTGGACTATGAGAAAGCCTTTGATTCCGTCGAAATTTGGGCGGTGCTGCAGTCCCTTCAGCGGTGCCAAGTTGACTGTCGGTATATCGAAGTGTTGAAGTGCTTTTACAGTAGGGCTAAGATGGCTATCCGAGTACAGAACCAGAGTACGAAACCTATCCAATTGCAGAGAGGTGTAAGACAGGGTGACGTCATATCCCCGAAACTCTTCACCGCTGCATTGGAAGACGTTTTCAAGCTTCTGGACTGGAAAGGATACGGTATCAACATCAATGGCGAGTACATCACTCACCTTCGATTTGCCGACGATATAGTCCTTATGGCAGAATCGCTGGAGAACCTAAGCACTATGCTCAATGACCTCAATAGTGTTTCCCAACGGATAGGTCTTAAGATGAACATGGACAAAACTAAGATCATGTTTAATGTCCATGTCACACCTATGCCGGTAGTTGTTGGGAACACTAAGCTCGAAGTTGTTGACGAGTATGTTTACCTGGGACAAATAGTCCGACTAGGTAAGTCCAACTTCGACCGAGAGGTCAATCGACGGATTCAACTCGGTTGGGCAGCGTTCGGGAAATTACGGCACATCTTCTCGTCAGGTATACCTCAAACCTTGAAAACGAGACTGTACACCCAGTGCGTGTTGCCAGTGATGACATACGGAACTGAGACGTGGTCCTTCACTGCTGGCCGGATGAGGAAGCTCAAGGTCGCTCAGCGAGCTATGGAGAGGGCTATGCTCGGAGTTTCTTTGCGTGATAAACTTAGGAATGAGGATATCCGCAGTAGAACCAGAGTAACCGACATAGCCCAACGGATTAGTAAGCTGAAGTGGCAATGGGCCGGCCATATAGCTCGAAGAACCGACAACCGATGGGGAAGAAAGGTTCTCGAGTGGCAGCCTCGTACCGGTAGGCGAAGTGTAGGGCGTCCCCCCACGAGATGGAGTGACGACCTGGTAAGACATGCAGGAAGTCGATGGATGCAGGTGGCTCAGGACCGTGCTTTGTGGCATTCTTTGGGGGAGGCCTATGTTCAGCAGTGGACTTGTGAAGGGCTGTAATGATGATGATGATCACTGTGGACAAGTAGTTTCGTTACCTTATGTTCACAAAAAGCAAGTAGATGATTAAGTTGTGTTTGTTCCAGTAAATGCACGTCGCTTGGAGAAATTTAGAAGTAACATAGTGAAAAAACTTCCATCACTTTCATACCAAAATGATCCTAATTTTTTGTATGGAACATTATTTAAGCTTATTTGCAATGAATTTAATAATACTTTTACTTCTAAAACATTCTCCTTGAACAGTCGGAAGTCATTCAATGAATAGGCGACAGTAGGAGTCCATAAGAGCAGGCATAGGTTATATGATCTTTACCATGAAAGGTCATATAATCATAGCGTCGAATTTAGAGAATATGTAAAAAATATTCAAAAATATTTAAAAGAGTGTGCTAGCCAAGTCTTTGCATTTGAGCAACAAAAGCAACAAAATTAAGACGGCTTCTAATGAAATTAAAATGACATGGAGTATAATTAATAGCGAAACTGGTAAGATCTACTCTCGAAATTCAAACTACCAGTTAAGTGTTAACAACAAATTAACTGAATCAGATCAAGACGTTGCAATGGTTCTTGATAAATATTTTACTGATATTCCGATATTAACCACTAAGTCACTGAATTCTTCTCCTGCCGTCGCCGAATCATTACTTAAACAAAATGTAAATGCGTGTACAAAGAATTTTACATTTCATAAAGTATCATCAAAAGATATTGTAAAATATTTTAAAAATATGGATGTTAAGAAAACTACGGATCTGTGGGGGATTTCCGTTAAAGTTATTGCGTCTATAATAGATACAATCGCGCCTCATTTAGCTATTATTTTTAGTACTAGTATCGAATCTGGTGTGTTTCCTGATTTAATGAAGCATAGTAAAGTAATACCTTTATTTAAATCTGGTAGTACATTAGACCCCGCCAATTTTAGACCTATTTCTCCAACACTTAGTAAGATTTTTGAAAAAAATATTCTAGATCAAATGTTAAATTTATTTAATATAAATAATTTACTTTATAAAAATCAATTTGGTTTCACAAGGGATCGCTCGACAACTGATGTCGGTGTTGAGCTGATTAAATATATCTTTAATGCATGGGAGAATTCACACGATGCTTTGGGTATGTTTTGTGACCTATCCAAGGCCTTCGATTGTGTTCACCATGAAACATTAATCAGGAAACTTCAACACTACGGTGTAAAGAAGTGATGCTCTTAAATTAATTATTTCATATTTAAGTAAGAGAACGCAAAAAGTTGTCATTAACAATATGAGATCTTCCGGGTCGATGCTACAAATGGGCGTGCCTCAAGGCTCAATTCTCGGCCCCCTTCTGTATCTTGTATACATTAATGACTTACCTTACATAGTAGGGGATAACCATGATATAGTATTATTTGCAGATGACACTTTTTTAATTTTCAAATTAAGTTGACAATTATTAAAACATGACGAAGTAATGCTATATCTAAATTAGTAAATTGGTTCAATGTTAATAATTTTGCATTTAAATGGCATTAAAACGAAATGTATGAAATTCATGACTCCAAATGTCAAACAATTAAATACTAATGTAATTTTAAATGGGGAGAAAGTGAGTCTTGTAGATACCACAGTTTTTCTTGGAATCATACTAGACGCGAAGCTTCAATGGAACCCCCATATATCAAAACCAGCAAGCAGACTTAGTTCTGCAGCATATGCTGTAAAAAAGATTAGAAGTCTAACCAGTGTTGAAACAGCTAGACTAGTTTACTTTAGCTATTTCCATAGCATAATGTCGTATGGTATTTTGCTATGGGGACACGCAGCTGACACTAAAATTATATTTGTTTTACAGAAGAGGGCCATAAGAGCAATTTATGATTTAAAGCCTAAAGAGTCGCTGCGACAATAATTTAAGGAAGTTAATATATAAACTTTGGCCTCTCAATACATTTATGAAAATGTAATGTACGTACACAAAAATAAAAGTAGTTTTACAAAAATAAGTGATATTCATTCTGTAACTACTAGAAACAGACACAAGCTAGTAGTACCAGTTACTCGCTTTTACACGCTTTTACAACAAAATTCCAGAAAATATACAAAATTTGACCGGCTCAAAGTTCAAAAACTTTATTAAACTAAGTTTGTATAAAAAGGGTTATTATAATATTAAGGAATTTATGGATGATAATAACCGCTGGAAATGAGTTGATCGCTACCAAGCTATTTCTAATTTGTGGTGTTGTTAATGTGTGTAACATACATGATTATAAGCTGTTATTTAAAAAAAAAGTCCCGCTGGGTTTCTTGCTGGTTCTTCCCAGGACAGAGGTTTTTTCCGAACCAGTGGTAATTAAACAAAAGAGTGACTTTCAATAAGTATTATTTATAATCTATATTGAATAAAAAAGTTTCTGTTCCTGTTTCTGTTTGTAATTAGCTTCTATCTTTGGATAGAAAAATAAATAATGAGGAATACAGATTAAATACAATCCTATGATTTTATTATCTGAGGAAATGTTTTTGTGACAACCCTTGCATATTTTTAGCGACTAGATGTCGAGACAGCATTGCAGGTATTTTGCGGTATAACAATGGAGTTGACCCACTATTAGTATTTATTACACATATTATGTCAATAATCTATAAAATAGACACCATTTTGAAGTATTTCTTTTTTAAATTCATTGAAATGAAAACAGCTTTACGAAATTGGACAACAAATTTTCATAATATGTGTGTTTACCTGTACATCACTCAAACCTGTAAATTGTAGAGTACATAGATATAGCTTAGTAGTAAAATGAAACGAGGATACGAACATTTGGCAGGGCGCGCCTGGAACGCTTATCACTGCGCACTTTTGCCACCTCCTGCAGGAACTCATAGAGCAGACTGGGGCGGATAGAACGAAGCACCGATAGCTGCTCCCTGGTCAGCATTGACACGTAGTTGTTGGCAGATGACAAGCCTGTCAAAGTAATGGCATATTAAATAAATTGCTTAACCTAATTGTAATGTGTATAGGACTATTAAAATGTTTTATGTATGCCACTGCCGGCGATTTATCTTTTTAAGAGGTTAAAATATTACGTTTTTATAAAATTATTAAAAAAAATCACAACAGTGATTATTGCTTTTGGTACAGTAATGTAATTATTTCTGCATTATTTTTGTAATAAAGTAATTTCTTCTATCGATATTTTAATACGAGGTAAGTAATTTATTTTATTAATTGATTTAACTTCCTCATATTAAAATATCCAGATAAGTTCTTTTTTAGTAAATTTAGTATTGGTAGAAGTTTGGTATTAATAAGTAACAAAGGTATGGCAAAAATTATAGGTAATTAATAATATTATATAAAAAACTTTTTTATACGTATTATACAATAGCACGAATGGGTCTGTTCTCTATTCTCCGAATCACATTCGTACAGAAAATAATAGTAAAATTGCAACATTATGTTGCTCAGGATCTCCGGTCTTCATCTGTGAGTAATGAAAACTGCAGATGCTTTTTACTGGTTGCGTGTCACATTAGTCTTCAGGGTGTGAAGGGATGATTATTAATAGAGTATAGTATGCAAGTCTAAGGGCACCCACTAATCAAGAGTATATAAATTGTAAGCTCATACCTTCCGGGCAAAATAAAAATAATGTAACTTGAATATAATTACTAACTTTTTATCAGGAAATCAAACGTGTCCACCATTTCTCCGTTTCTAGCTCCTGATACACCGGAATGTTCGTTCCAAATGTTGGTATGAGGCGGCGGCACTGGCTCAGACCTATTGCCGTCTAAAAAATGTTGAGTAACTTAATTTTTTTATAATAATCTCAAAATACATGATTTCTTATATTTACGAGAAAGGAATATAAACTATTTTTTTTAATCGTGTTTAATATCATCACGACTACAGCAAAGGAGTGGAATAAGTTGCCGGCATCTGTCTTTCCATCCGATTACAATGTGGGTGTCTTCAAGGCAAGAGTGAATAGGCTTTTGTTAAGGCGCTTCACCATCTTAGGCTACATCACCGCTTACCATCAGGTGGGATTGTAGTTAAGCGCTGGCTTAGTAGAATATAAAAAAGTCCGAACTTTCGAGTTCCTCGTGGCGTAAAATATAGAAAACTTTAATTTCCGAAGTTTCAAAGTAAGTTAAGTAAATAAATACGATAAATGAGTAAAATTAGTTTCATTAGATATTGATTAGAAACTTAATAACCTTTTTAAATATTTTTGTGATAATCATAATCAAAGGAATAAAAATATAAGTCATTTTACTTGCAAAAGAATACATAGTACAACAAATGGTATAAAAATTTTTTGTAAAACCGACTTCAATATAAAAAAATGATAACGTTATCAATGTAGTCGAAGTAATTTAAATACGTATTTTAAGGATATTCCGACGATATCCCGGACGTCAGTCTGAGCGAGATTAGAATAGCTTTCCAGTACCTTAAAAACGGCAAGTCCCCGAGCGAGGATGGAATTACTGTGGAGCTTCTGAAAGCGGGTGGAATACCGGTACTTGAAATCCTTCAGGAGATCTTTAATTCCATCCTCCATGGTGGCAATATTCCGGAGGCGTGGAGCATAAGTGTGGTTGTCTTGTTCTTCAAGAAAGCTGATAATGCTCTCTTTAAGAACTACAGACCAATTTCTCTTCTGAGTCGCGATTACAGATTTGACGACTTCCAGCCTCCCGAACAAGCCGGTTTCCGAAAAGGCTTTAACACCATAAGCACATATACTCTTTGGCGAATTGTACAGAAGACCGAAGAGTACAATCTGCCTCTATGCCTTGCGTATGTGGACTATGAGAAAGCCTTTGATTCCGTCAAAATTTGGGCGGTGCTGCAGTCCCTTCAGCTGTGCCAAGTTGACTGTCGGTATATCGAAGTGCTGAAGTGTTTGTACAGTTAGGACTAAGATGGCTGCCCGAGTACAAAACCAGTGTATGAAACCTATTCGACTGCAGAGAGGTGTAAGACAGAAGACGTTTTCAAGCTACTGGATTGGAAAGATACGGTATCAACGTCAATGGCGAGTACATCACTCACCTTCGATTTGTCGATGATATAGTCCTTATGGCAGAATCACCCGACGACCTAAGCACTATGCTCAATGACCTCAATACTGTCTCCCAACGGATAGATCTTAAGATTAACAAGGACAAAACAAAAGTCATGTGTAACGTCCATGTCACACCTATGCCATTTTGTTGTTGGAAGCACTAACTTTTAAGTTGTTGACGAGTATGTTTACCTGGGATAAATAGTCCGACTAGGTAAGTTCAACTTCGACCGAGAGGTCAATCGACGGATTCAACTCGGCTGGGCAGCGTACGGGAGATTCATCTGCTCGTTATGCATACCTCAAAACCTCAAAACAAAATCGATGAACCTGTATCTGAAACGTGGTCCTTAACTGCTAACCATATGAGGAAGCTCAAAGTAGCTCAGCGAGATATAGAGAGCGGCTATGCTCTGAATTTCTCTGCGTGATAGACTTAAAAAGGAGAATATCCGCAGTAGAACCAGAGTAACCGACATAGCCCAACGGATTAATAAGCTGTAGTGGCAATGGGCCGGCCATATAAGTCGAGGAACCGACAACCGATGGGGAAGAAAGGTTCTCGAATGGCAGCCCCGTACCGGCAGGCGAAATGTAAGGCGTCCCCCCCACTAGATGGAGTGACGACCTGATAAGACATGCAGGGAAGTTAATGGATGCAGGTGTCTAGGGACCGTGCTTTGTGGCATTCCTTAGGGGAGGCCTATGTTTAGCAGTGGACTTGTGAAGGGCTGTAATGATAATGATAAATGATATTGAGGATAACTCAAAAACTACTGATCAGATCTTGATCAAATTTGTATGGGACCACTTGAGAAGCACCAGCTTCCAAATAAAAAAAGCACAACATAGAAAAAAGTTATAAGGTAACACATAAAAAAATACAGTCGAATTGAGAACTTCCTTCTTGTTTTGAAGTCAGTTAAAAAGTGGTGTATACCTACGTTTCCTCGTTGAATCGTTCCAGGCAAGAGAAAAAAACCTTTAACATTACCACTACAAATACCTATTTCCCTCTGAAACTCAAACACACGAGAAATTATGGAGGTACGAGTATTTGTGGTGTCAATTATTTAACAGCGCAAAAGTACATATTTATATTGTTTTAACATTTTGAAATCATTTGTCGTGTAGAAGCGGCAGAGAAAGTACTGCTTAAAACTAAAATTAAAAAGTAAAAAAAAACCCGCGAAACATAAAGAGCGGATGATCTTCAAACGGCTCAACATATTTTCTTGAAACATAGCTAAGAACACATTGAGACACCTTTCAAACGAAAAAAAAACTCAAAATAAGTTCATCCGTTCAGGAGCTATGACGTCACAGACAGACACACGAGATACACATATACACAGATACTACAAACATAACATCCCTCTGTTCTCGTCGGGGGTTAAAAACGAACAACACTTTAAGAGTAGCACTTATATTAAATGTAGCGTTTAAAAAGCTTTTTACTTAAAATTTATTTTCTTTCCTGACGCTTAAACGTCAAACGTGATAGTGGTTTCTGTAGTCCCGTATAATGTCGGCTAAGAGTAGGGAGAATCCACTACCGTAGTATCATCCCGTGGGTTTCGTAAGAGGCGACAGAGGAAGGCGAGAGAGGGAAAATGAGCTGAAGATGGGCAGCAGAATCTTCTTAATAACAGTTCAAAACAATAAAAAAACCCCACCAAGGTTGGTAACTATGGCAAATATCCTATATAAAGCAATCTATGGGAGAACCTATGTTCAACTGTGGACTTGTGGAATTCTTAAACGTACACGCTACGCGTTGTAAAATGCGTTAGATGTTAAATTATAGCATAATGGTATAAGGTGCCGATTGCTGTCCAACGTATTAATATAGACAAAATAGTTAAGTGGATTAAGTAATACGTTATTCACATAAACTTCGTCTATTCCCTAACTAGAAAATAAGGTCATAAATCTACCTCTACTCATCATGCGCAGCGAGCTACTCACGAGAGCTAACCTCAATACTCAATACTCAATATTTATTTGCATTCCATAATGTACAAATTAATAAATTAAATTATCACAATATGGACCCTGTTGGGTATAGCAAATTAGAAAATTAGAACTGAGGAGGTCGCATAGATGTTTTATAATTCATTATTATTATTATATCATTCATTATTATTATATCATTTATTAGTCCATAATTATTCATATTAATCATTCATTTATTTAAAGTATTGCATTTGTCATTCAGGTATTCATATAACGTATAATAACATTTATTGATTAGAAACACTTTTAATTGTCTTATAAAAATATTATCATTTGTTTCGTTTTTTAATGAGTTTGGTAGTTTATTATAGACAGTTATTGACATTGAGTAAGGGCCTGATGAGAAGAGCTTCATTTTAGAGGGTGGTAGCAATAATTTATTTTCATATCTAAAACTATAAGCCGTATTTTTAGTTTCTCTTTTTACATATAAATTAGGGTATTTTCGAACGAATTTGCATAATTCCAATATATAAATACAAGTTAAGGTAAGAAGTTTAAGTTTCTTAAAATGAGGACGACAACTTTCAGTATTCTTTATGTTAGACATAATGCGAATTAGCTTTTTCTGTAAGATGAAGATGGTGGGTGCATCTGTACTGTTGCCCCACAGGATAATACCATACCTTAGCCACGCCTGTGCATAGGCATTATAAGTAATTAACGCAGTCTGGAGGTCAGTTGTCTTTTTTATTTCACTTAGTGCATATACAAAGCTAGACAATTTGTTACGAATTTTCTGAATTTGAGATTTCCAGTTAATGTGGCTATCTAGAATTAAACCGAGTAGAGTGTGTTCATTTACTGACTCTATTTTTGTATTTTTGTAAGAAAAATTTATTTTAATCGGTGGTTTTTGATAAGGGTAAAAAGGCAAAGTTTTTGTTTTTTTATAGTTAATTTCTAGGTTATGCTCTTTCATCCATTGGTCAGTAGTTTTAAATATTTTATATAGTATATCATTTATATTATTTACGTTACGACATGGTGCTAAGATAGAGATATCATCCGCAAATATAACACATGGGTTAACCATAGTTTCACTGAGATTGTTGATATATATTAAAAATAATAAACATCCCAATACACTACCTTGGGGTATTGAAGCATTTATAATTATTTTATTTGATCTGACTTTCACTATATTATTATTATCAAAATATTCTATTTCTACATATTGTTCTCTATCTTGCAAGTATGATTTGAACCATTCCAAAGTAATCCCACGAATACCTATACTATTTAATTTATTAATCAATATGTTATATTGCACCTTATCGTATGCTTTGCTCATATCTAATAGTATTCCTATTGCATATTCTTTATTGTTTAATATCTTTAAAATATCTTGAATATATTTATATACTGCTAGTACGGTGGACCGATTTTTACGAAAGCCGTTCTGACATTCACTAAAAATTTTATATTTCTCGCAGAAATTATACACACGTTCGAACATTGCTTTTTCGAAAACTTTTGAGATTGTGGGGAGTAATGCTATGGGGCGATAATTATCGATATTGGTTTTTGAATTTTTTTTTGTGGATGGGTGTTATTAATGCCTTTTTTAACATGTCTGGGAAGATGCCCTCTGTGAGAGAACCTCTAAAGCAGTTACAGCTTATATAGTTTTAACTGATGGGCACAGGCCTCTTCTTATGTTTGAGAGGGTTTTAAGGCAAAGGAAAGACCGCCACGCTGCCGCAATGCGTGCTGGCTCTAATTATGTAGCTGCCTAATTGTTAATCTGTTGGATATGTGTTCGGCATTTTTTGAAATGTTTGCTTGCGTCAGTGTGTAGTCAGAGCCTGTAGGCAGTGTGAATTAAAGCGGAATATTTTATCTCCAGGTGACGTTGAATATTGCCTTTCATTTCTTTTCATTTGAATAAAATAATTTAAAATTAAACATTTTGTACAACAGACTTCAATATAAATTATTAAGAATAACTCAAAAACTATTGGTCAGACCTTGATCAAATTTATATAGGACCACATAAGAAGTACCAGCTATCAAATAAAAAAAGAATGATAGAAATCGGTTCACCCAGAAAAGAGTTACGAGGTAACACACATAAAAAAAACAAAAAACAGTAGAATTGTACCTCCTTTTTGAAGTCTGTAGATAAAATAGAAACGAAAGTTGACCCTCAGCCGTTTACGTCTTTTAGTTATTTAAGAGATAATATTGACCACTATAAATGTGTACGCTCATTATATACATTTACAAAGACATGAAATTAAAAACTTACTCATGAAGTAATTCTGAGTATTGTGCTCGATGTCGTCAAAGAGTAATTCAGAGCTATTGAGGCGAAGGTTCAGCAAGACTTCTTCCATCCCTGTTGTGGTCGGTGCTGGCAAGAATAAAAATACAAATAACAACAAAAATTGTACAAAAGTGTCCCTAAAGTTAAACAATCCTTCGCGATTGCGATCACGAGATAAAGGCAAATTGTTAATTTTATGTCAACAGCGTAAGATAAAGTCATGTTGTAGTAATCGACATGTAGTGGCGGCGTAAAAGTATCAATCTGTGGATGTCGTAAGTGGCCACATAGGGAAATCAAACTGGAGATCACAGTAAAGTAAAAAAAAACCGGGCAAGTGAGAGTCGGATTCGCGCATGAAGGGTTCCGTACCAACACACACGTTTCTAATAGGAGAGCCCCCTTTAATTTTTGTTTATTTTTATTTTTATTGAAATACACATTTTGTGAAAATTTCAACTGTCTACCTATTACGCATCATGAGATACAGCCCGCTGACAGACAGATGGACGGACGAACGGACGGACAACAGAGGCTTAGTAATAGGGTTCCGTTGATTACCCTTTGGGTACGGAACCCTATAAACTACGCTGCCAAGCCGTCTGTCAAGCAATTGCGAATAATCCTATAGAAAAATCTGTGGTGGAGGCATACCTGTAATGATGTCTGAAGGATGACACGCGTAAAAAATACGAGACAAATTATCAGAAATATAGAAATCATTCAAACCAGAAAACCAATGTGCTTCTACTCTTTTTTATCTAGTGATGTGCTTACGTTTACTGTTGCAGCCGTATAATATAAACCAAGTCTGACAAACATAGTATTCTGATGTCTACCTAACTGTAGCATAAATAGCTCGGCTAATAAAATAACATTAAAAAACTCCAGATCAAATTTTAATACATGATAATTTTTAAGTCTGTCACCAGGTCTTAATTTTTAATTTGTAGGTACCTGTATCCGCTGGACGGGGTTCTTGCTGCATCATATTCAACAATTCGTTGCCTACCCGACTCTGGAATGGTGTTGCTAACGGTGAGAAAACACTGTCTTGAGAGTGATTATGGTTTCTGTTACCGGGAGCTACGAAACTTTCCTGCAAACAAAAAATGTATTGTTTATATTACACAATTTCAATCCATAATGATCTATACAAATAAAATGATAGAGGTTTGCAGTTGTGAGCGCCACGGAAGAACTACTGAATAGATTTCAGTTAGGTTTTTTTTTATAGGATAGGGTGACAAACGAGCACACAATCCATCTGATGGTAAGTGGTTGCTGTGACCCATAGATATCTACATTTACCCTCAATAAAGAATCAAAATGCAGATGCGTCGTCACCCGTGAGTACTAAGATGGAATGCCTCTTTTCCAGTAAAATGTGTCTCCGTTTCTCTACACTCACCATGCGAAACACAGCAGTGTCAAGCTGCCATTTTACGCTGGTATTCTGTGAGAGCGTGGTCATTCCCCGGTCGAGCCGACCCATTTGTGCTACAACTATACTACTAATATATCTGCAGCATGGCTCTACCACGTAAAAAGTTTTCATAAGCACTACGTGTTCAGTGATGTGTGTAAGCAATGCGGATGAAGTCACGAGTATCAGCTAGTACACTATACATAGGCCGTCGCCATAAGAACTGAATTGCCTATTACGAAGAGATTCCAAAAATAAATATAACTTAACAAACAGTAAAAACAGACTTCAAATTGCTAAAAAAGAAGTTATTTATTTGCTACACTTAGGGGTGGAATTTTTTCTCCAAGGTGGAATTATATATGACACTACCCTTGAAGTACCCTATTTAATAAAAATAATCATCAAAATTGGTTCACAATACACTCACTCGAATTCAACATACACTCGAATTGAGAACCTCCTCATTTTTGAAGTCGGTTAATTACATCTGCTGAGACTTATACAAAATTCCTAAATGTTAAAATCTATCAAACTATCATTGCAACCGCAGTTAAAATGGAGTTGAATATAATTTACATCGCAACGACCCAATAAAAAATTATGATCTTAACAGTCTTATATTTTCTGCAACAAACAAGTCAAAGTTTTAAATAGTAAAATATTAGGAGCTAAAACACTTAACAACCCGTTACGTAAATACAAAATAGTGGGACACCGATTGAAAATCTTAAAACGGAAAAACTCACAGTAGTCGTTGTTGCTGGTGTGTCACCTGCAGTCGTGAATATAGGTTTCCCCTCCTCCATATTATAATTAAACGGCATCGAATCCATTACACGAAATAGTACAAAATTCAACTTACGCGAACAACAAACTAATTCTCTGTTTACAACGGTGCACCGGTCGTAACGAAAAGAACTCTCCGGCCTGAATCAGCAGAATATATAGGAAACGCGTACCTATTCGTACATGTATACTAATATTTATAATATGATGTCCACTTAGCAACGAGGGATACGAAATAAACATCAATCTACCCCCAAATAATAAACAAATGTTTACCAAAGCATTAATAATATTAAAATGACGGTAGATATAAGAGAGTAGGAATCTTAATAGAAGAGGTTTTGTATTTGTTTATATGTACATATGTATAATGACTCCTATTGTTGAAATTATAAGTAACTATAATTTATAAACGTAGTAAAACGTAAGAATGTATTCTTTTTAAATTTTGTAATATTATGTAAAAGTAATCGAAGCTAATTTAAAAATTTATAAATACCGCTGTTAATATTATATATTACGTATATATTTTAAGTTAATTTTAGAAATAAATTGTAAAAGTTTCATTATTGATTAACATTAAAACGTTTATTTTATTTGCAACTATATTATTCATCATCATTCAAGTATTCATTACAGCCCTTCACAACTCCACTGCTGAACATAGGCCTCTCCCAAGGAATGCCACAAAGCATGGTCCTGAGCCACCTGCATCTTTCGACTTCCTGCATGTCTTACCAGGTCGTCACTCCATCTAGTAGGGGATCGCCCTTAACTTCATTTCTTTCCATCGGTTGTTGACAATTTTAATCGAATTCGAGCTATGTGGTCGGTCCATTGCCATTTCAGGTTATCCATAATGACGTAAAAGATTCAAATGCCTTGAAAACATAACGCTTTAATCAATAAAAAATTGACTAATTTTGAAAAAAGAATTCCATGTATTTAAAATAAAATTAATTTAAATTTAGAATTCATAGCCTAACAAAAATTAATTTGATTTGAAATGCAATTTCATGGGTAACCTATTATTATAAGTATTTTTTCTCCCTAGGAGTTTGTCTTGGTAATTACCACCCTTACCTGTTTTTGCTGCCAATCAGCAGTGAGTCCAATGCCGATCTGAATGGAATGGCAATATGTATTATGTAGAGCGAATATAATCATTACAGAATTCAGAGATAATTTCCTCGCTAGGCTAGTGTCGTAGACGCGATCATGACGCGCGCGCATGTGAACCTGGTTTCGAGTCCTGAGTCGGGTCAAAAATCAGTAATTAGTTTTTTTTTGTCAAGAAATTCTAATTAACAGTTGAAAGTTGGCGGTCTTTCACCCCCGTGCCTCGAAAAGCACGTAAGGCCTTTGGCTTTGCGCCCGATCTCTCAGCGGTCTTTTCTGATTACGACCCATCGGATTATGAGAATGAGGGAATATAGTTTGCACTTGGGCTTGGGCATTCACTTGCGCACTTGAGCAGATGGCGTCTCTGTTGAGACTGGCTGCTGCGACCGAAATTCAGTCTGGAGGACATTATTATTATTATAGGATAATAGGCATTCCATTAACATATCTGCAGTTGCGTTTGTCCATAGGCTTCAGTAGCGACTTAGCAACAGCCAAAATTTGTGTTAGTGAAATCCAATAAGTATTGTCATATAAAACACTGTTCTAGGGTAGACCCTAAAAGCTGAAGCCGCAAATGACGAAATGCTGCAGTAGTTATATAATTATTTTCTGTATAATCCAGTGTCTAGAATACAATGGAATAGTAAAGTTACAGGCTATATACGTTCCAGTACTGGACACAGGCCTCCTGTCATTTCTGAGAGGGTTTTAGGTCATGGAAACGTCCGCCGCGCTGCACCAATGCGTGTTGGCGAACTTCGCATGTCTTCGAGATATTTTGTTATATCTCTCAGACATGCAGGTTCCCTCATGATGTTTTCACTCAGTTTGAATCAGCACTTAAACTTGCTTCACAATTTCATGGTGCCGGTGGTATTCGAATCCAAGTCGCTCGCGTACAGTAAAATTTACAGAGAGTGCTCAGCCCCTGAGCTACCGCGGCTCCCACGGAACAGAATAGAATAGAATATTTTTATTGTACAAGAATACTTTTTCCTGGTAACCAGGCATTCCATCTCAGTCCTCAAAAGTGATAACGCATCTGCATTTTGATTCTTAGTTGAGGATAAATGTAGACGTCCATGAGCCACGGCATCCATTTATCGTTAGGTGTCCACCTGTGCTCGTTTGTCACCCTTATTTTATAAAAAACTACTTTGTGCCTTTCTTAAGATGGCACTTATTATGTGTCGAGGTAGCTCAGGGGTCAGAAAGGCTGGTGCTTCCAAGTGCTCAATTTTCCTGGCCCCATGTACCTCGCGTATCGGACTCTGGGGATCCGCTTGGGCAGTTGGATGTAGAGGTTGCGAAGAAAAACGTGTCTCGTGTTCTGGTACGACTTAAATGAAAAGGACCCCTTGTATGTGATGTCCTCACCTACACCTTCGGCGGACCATGGGGCGGGCGGCGCTGGTAGGGCCACGGATGTGTGCGAAAGCGTTCCCATAGCACTGGTTATATGTGGCGAAGGGTTTCAGTCAATGTGAGACCGATATAACCCATTCGTGACCCCGCAAGTCGGGTATATGGTATGCTAGACATTTGCTTATGTAAAAAAGGTTAATTTCATAGCACGCGACATCCTGGCTTCTTCCATATTTTACCATGGAGGTGAGGGGTACATTGTAAGGAAACCTACATGATGTCATATGAAGCCCGCTAACACCCACTGAAGCAGTGCTGTGCTAAAAAATTCTCCCTCAACTTTTCTTAAATAAGAAGAGGCTTGTGCACAGAATTAATTGGAACATATATGTTTTTTTTAAATAATTTTTGTAAAGTACTCGTAAGGATGTTTTATTCAAGCAAAGAAAATTACAAAATTTAATCTCTAAACTAAATGACGACACTTGTTCCGAAGTGTAATATAACGAGTTGAATGTAAATTCAAGAAAAACAACTTCCTTCTGAGTGAATCCCATATCTCTGGTGCCATTTGACCTACAGGACCCCAAATTCAAACTCGACCGAGCTACTACCTCAAGGTATCCACATACCAAATTTAAAGTCAATCGGTCCAGTGGAACGGAAGTTATCGTGTCGGCATACAGACTAACAGACTGCCAGCTAAAACCATTAACTTCCTTTCAATGCTACGCAGAAGGAAGTTAATAATTTCTTAGGAGAATAATATTCTTTCTAACCATAACGATTACTTAATAGGGGGTAGACACACAAAAACTGCGTACTTTTTGCTTACCAAAAATTTCTTAAAAACATTTATTATTTGTTTTGTTAATCGCAAACAGGAGACAGCCAAGATTCGCAATTGTCCAAGGACGTTTTATAAAATACTTTATTTAACAATTAAGATTAATAATGTGCTATACATTAAATAAACAACTTAAAACTACATATCCGACACATGTCGGCGCCTAACTAAGACTATCCTAACTCTTACACTAGAACATTAAGCTAAAGAACAGTTATCATTATGCCTTCGGCTCCGTGGCGCAGTGGCTTAGCAATGAATTGTTGAGCCGGGGCCGCGGGTTCGACAACAAGTATTTGTATGGCCTACAAATAATTGTTCCGGGTCTGGATGTTTGTCCTCGTGCAATTTATGTTTGTAAACTGCCTCCACGATAAAGGAGAAAATCCTAGTGTGGGGGTAACGTTTTTTAAAACTAAGAAAAAAAAGAAGGACCCTTCCTCTTCCAGAAGCAATTCAGCAATTTACGCCCACGCTTACGCTTGAACTGTGATGGTCTCCGTTGCAATACCGAGAATACCGGGATGCATAAATTCTCCCCCCTCAGTTTCAAAATTACCGGGCAAAGTTTTCTTAGTCCGATAATTTCGGTACAAATATCTTTTACAAAATATTACAATTATTATAACTAAAATTATATATAAAATTATTGTCCCGATACTGATGTCCTTCACATTTATGACTCTTTGATCACTTTTTACACTATCACTGGTTAACATGTGATTCAGCTGTTGTAGATTGGTTAGTTTCACATCATTCAGGTTTACTGCTGCTGGTTTCGAAGATGTCTTCATTAGCAGCTGTGATATTTCTGGAAGATTTATTATTGGTAAAGGAGTCAACGGATAATATTCCTCTATATTTTCGTGGTGCCTTTTCAGACTGAATTCTTTAATTTTAGTTCCGCAGTTATCGTTGGCTGAGATTATGTACGTTCGGAATCGGAAATCACTTTTTGTTTGTTGTTCAGCCTTTCTACCTCAAGTTCAGTTCAACAGAAAATATATTCATATTTTAATATACAGAAAAACTTATTGAGTGGGACCTGGATAAGTGAGAAACCTCCATAGCTGGAACTCATACTTAGATCCCGACATTTTGGCACTGAATTACCTCTGTTAGTGGGACAAAACAAACCTCTATATCTGGGATTAGTTCATTTGATTTTATCGTCATAATTACTTCTATAATTAAGACAGCCAGTGTATTTTACCTCTTTTACTGAGACTATATTTTAGGGATTAGTTCTTTCGATCTTATTCGTCATAATTACCTCTATAATTGAAACAGCGTGTATATTTTACCTCTTTTACTGAGATTATATTTTGTGTACCCTTTTGTTTACTAATTCTTATTCTACCCGCAAATTCCGCACTTGGCTAATTGTGTAAAAGTGACCTCCAGTTTTAGTTTGGTTTTGCTATCGTCCGGATATTAATTTGAAAATGCCGAAGGGAAGGCTTAAGTCTTATCAAAACATGAAAAACTAAAGTTAATATCCGTTTATGAAAGTGGCAAGCCGAGCGATGAAGTCTGTATCGAATTTAATGTGCCAAAATCTATGCATTTTTGTATTATTTATAAAAAACGTGCATAATTATTTTTATTTAATAGATTTTTTGATTGTCAATAAATAATACAACTCTTATACACGAGTGTTTATAAAATACGTTATTTTATTTAATAATCGCACCTCTATAACTGAAATAA